CCCGCCGGTGCCTCGCCGCTCGCTGAGGGGCGCCCGCGAGGCCGCCGTTGCCGCAGCAACAGGACCGCGCGCGCCCGGCCTCGAAGCCCTCCCGCCTCCCCGCGCACGGGGGCGGGGCGCCTCCCCAAGCTCGTGGGTCGCTAGGATTGGCTCGTTACGCCTCGGGGGCGGAGCCGGGCCGCCTCCCCGCCCCCGGCCCGAGCACGTCCGGGTCAGTCGGTGTTAGTGAGGGGAAGTGCGAGCGGGGCGGCCGTTGCGTGCTCGCGGCTCGGCGGACGGCGTCGTCGTCGGCATCGCCATCATGTCGCGGGGGTCTATTGAGATCCCTCTCCGGGACACCGATGAGGCGAGTCGGGGGCTGGCAGGCGGCGGCGGCGGCGCGGCCTGGTCCCGGGGCGGGGGAAGGAAGGGGTGCGCTGTTCGATGCGTGCCGGGGCGCGGGCGTTTGTCGCTTCCTCTGGTAATTTTGTCCCGGGCTCCAGGGGCAGTGTCGCTCCCTTCCCTGCGCGGAGTGAGTTGCTGGGGTCACAGGTGTATGGCTTTGCGGAAAGAAACCCAGAGCTGCCTTCGCCGGTGCCCTTCGGTGAACGGTGTCAGCCCTCTGCTAGCCGTAACCTCCCTGCCCTTGCCTAGTGGCTTGCTGGTGCAGGAGAGCCGCTGGGAGCAGTCAGGCAGTCTGTCCGGGGTCCTGCCGGACCGCACGTCTGCGAAGAAGGGGCAGCCTCTTCTCCCACTGTGTATGCTTCAAGCACATGCAAGCCTCAGGAGCGGAGACCCTGCTGGGAACAGGATCTGATCTTTAGTGCGTGCTTGTGGACGGTGGCTTTGTCCGGCTAAACTCTCTCCTTAGTTCCTTAGGCGCTGCTTTTTCTGACCACTGATTTGTAAACGGCATGCGTGTTCCTAAGTCAGCATACAGACACAGGTTGGGCTGTGGGGTCCGCTCTGTGAGGGTGTTTCAGTGTGGGTTTAGAAATTTATTTAACTTTTCTTTATTTAGGGTAGACTGTCAGAAGGCAAGGTTAAAAAGATTTAAGAGAAGTATTTGCGAACTTACAGGGTATTGTAAAGTTTGAAGTTAAATCATTCTACAGCAGATATTAAATTAATACCGTAGCTAAATAAGGCATTGAAACATACTGCTTGTAGGTTGAAAAATGTTTTTTGTGAACATAAATCCATACTCTAGCAAATTTCCATATGACTACCATTGAGTTTTGAAGTCTCACGAATGTACTTAGCTCTCTGTAGGTTACATGTTGGAGGGCTTTTTTTACTGTGACAGAAGTTTCTGTCTGAGGTGTCAGCATGAATAGTAGATCTTGGTGCTGCTGTTCAAGTTCTGGCTAGGACTGCTTGAATCCCAAAGTTCTGAATTAATCACTAAAAAGTGCTATAAAGTACTTTTTTTTTCTTTTTACTGCTCTTTTTTACTTCTGTATTTATTTGCTGTGTTGGTAGTATCTATTTCTCATTAACTGCTATTTTAGTTTGTAGATGAGGGTTGCTCAAATTCAAAAACATTATCCATCAAACAGAATGTACTGTGCAAGACAAACTCAAACTAAAATTAACAATAGTAGCGGAAATATTTTTGCTGGTACTCTCAAGTTTTGCATAGTCAAAACTATAAGCCCTTATAAACTGGACTGATCGAATCCAGCCTTCAGAGAAAGAGTCCCTGCATTGGTAATCAGGGTACAAGCCTGGGTACATCAACTGCACCTCTTCCTTGCTGTAAAATTAAATTGTAATGTAGATGACTAATATTAAAGGCAGCATGACTGAGTAGCAAGTGAACTAACAGGTAGTTAAATTGTGTTCCCAAACATCCCACCTTGGGACTATCTGTTCCTTTTTACTCATTTTCCACATCAGAAGAGTAGATCAACATGGGAAAATAGTAATTGCAAAATAATACTTGTATGTTGAAAAGTTGTTGATGTCTTTTGCTCATGATGACCATGGTTGTTAATAATCAGAAATTTAGTCTGTTCTTTATGATGTTTGCTACTTCAATAATCTCTTAATTTTCTTGGGCATAAAGATGACTTTACATAATTTCAGGGCTCTGAGATAAGTCTTAGGTATTGATTCTCTGACACCTGGTTACTTGGAAAATTTTTAGTGTGTCCTAGATCTTTGTATTACCTGTAGGAGAAGTTTTAGAAATTCTACAGTGTGCAGTCAAGTTGGTTATTAGCTGAACTGTAAAAATTCTAAGCCTGAAGTCTATAGTGAAAGAAGTTGAGTTAGCATCTCTGCTTATTTTCCCCGACTAATATCCAAAACATTGGGCTGTCTTTCCTCTGATATTTGTGAGAGACCATCACTTTTGTCTTGTACAGAATACAGTACATTATCACTTCTTTCTTTGTCTGTAACCTTGCTTTAACACAATTATTTACATTTTGTGCTCTGAAATGTCCAGCTTCCTTTGAGCTCAGGGATAACATTGTTAATGCTTTGTGAAAAGAAAATCTGTATCGTTTGGTTCTAGGTTATTGAGCTTGACTTCGATCAGTTACCTGAGGGTGATGAAGTTATAAGTATACTGAAACAGGAACACACTCAACTGCACATATGGATTGCCTTAGCGGTTAGTAGATATACCAATTGTGTATTTGAATATTACATTCAGATAATCAAATAATGATTTCCACTTCCTTACTTTTATGACCAGGGATAACTGCATTCTGAACAGGAACTTAATGGGGTTGTTCAGTCACTGATTCTAGGCCAGATATTTCTGATTGGACATATGCATATTAAGATTTTAATTTAATCTATTTTCATGAAACCGTGCTGCTTGAGGCCTGCTTTCTAAATTGTTTTGGGGTTGGTTTTTTTTTTTTTCTCCTCAATTCATAGTTTTCCTTGTTTGTGCCTTTGATTATGCACTTCATATAAAAGGAGGGGGCAGTATCTGTACTTTGGAAAGCATGGTGAAATGTGCAAAAAGTCAAAGAAGTTCAGAGGAAAAACAGTTGATTCTTCACTTATAAATAGTTGTAAGGCTTGTGTCTTAATGTAGAAATACTAAGTTGGGATGATAACAGAAAAATATTTGGTGCTATCGGAATGGCTTTTTCTGATTTATCCCTACATCCTGGAAAAAGAATGTGTGTGACACCTAAAGCATCAACTTGATATGTTATGTACTTGCTGGGGTAGTTAAAACTGTATATTTTATAGCTGGAATACTACAAACAAGGAAAAACAGAAGATTTTGTGAAGCTGTTGGAAGCTGCACGCATAGATGGTAACTTGGACTATAGAGACCATGAAAAAGATCAGATGACATGTCTGGATACTCTGGCAGCATACTATGTACAGCAGGCTCGAAAGGAGAAGAACAAAGATAACAAGAAGGAGCTCATTACGCAAGCTACTTTGTTGTATACTATGGCTGACAAAATTATCATGTATGATCAGGTAAAACCAAAATCTGTTTAAAAATCCATATTTGTAAATTATTCAGACATTGTAAAGAAAACAAGTATTGATTCACAAAAGGGAAGATAGAAACCGCTCAGGCTTTGAAGTCTGTTAGTGTAGTACATGTAAGCAAAACTTGTAAGTATCTGAAATGTGTGCAGTGCCACCAGGAATAATTATCTCTAGCTTGGGACGTCTGATAGAAGTACGTCAGTCAATTTTTGAGGCTTGGGAAGGAAGGATTGGTTGTTACTCTCTTGCTTGATAATATGTGAACTTTAGAAGTGGATGATAAAGACCCTTTTTGTTTTATTTTTCTTCCTGATCTAAGAGAAATAAATTAATCGTAGAAAGCATTATAGCATAGCTGTTAATCTTTGTGTAGTCTAATCTTCATATTTTACAAAGATAAATCTATTGGGGGGGGGGGTTGTTTGTTTGTTTGTTTTTTTTTCCTTATCTAGAATCACTTGTTGGGAAGAGCCTGCTTTTGTCTGCTTGAAGGTGATAAGATGGACCAAGCTGATGCACAATTCCACTTTGTGCTCAACCAGTCTCCAAATAATATTCCTGCCCTTCTTGGTATGAGTTTATGGGTATTTGTGTAAAAACCTGGTCTCTCCAGTTGAGTTTTGGAATGAATTATGTGCTTAAGAAGAGGTTGCATATGTGAGTAGAGAGAAAGAATGTGATAAAGAAGTGTGCACTTTTGACCAGAAACACGTGACAGATACTACTTTAAACTTGGGAAGTATATGTAGGTGGAAGAGCTAGGAAAAAGTATAATGCTAGCTAGCATCTTCTGAGACCTGTGGGCATACATCCAGTCCAACTACTTATGTATCCCTGATGATGCCAATGAAGCTGTATACTTTGTCAAAGGTGAAGATACCAGTAGTGAGGGGTCAGCGGGCTGTAACTATTACAACTGATACTGAACAAGTATTTTAACTTGTTCGCTAATTAATCTAGTCTTAGTAAGTGTCTCTCCTCTGGACCAGGAAAAAATTAAGTTTCTGCAGAAAACCACGAAAATGTAAATTTAATGTGTTCCCATGTTTGACTTTTTTCACTTGACATCATCAAAGATAATAAAAGTTGTAGTTGTCTGAATTTTCAGTTAGTTTTTAACTGTAACTTTTGAAAATCGGCACAGCACAAGTTTACCAAATAATACTTATGAGCTGATTTGTAACTGCTTTGTTTATGTTTCTGATTTACTTGTAACTGGTATGTTCTAACAGGTAAAGCATGCATTTCTTTCAACAAGAAAGATTATAGAGGAGCCCTTGCCTACTACAAGAAAGCATTGCGTACCAATCCAGGTTGCCCAGGTAAGACAGAAAGTATTTGCTAGTGGAAGTATTTGCTGTGCTTGCAAACTAATTCAAGTCTTCCTAATTCAAATACCTACGGGCCTTTTTGTGATCTATATCTGTCAAAAAACCACAGCCCTCATTATAGAGGAGTTCAGCTGTTTGATGACTTGAAGTGTTCCTTAACTGAGGAAAATTGTGTTTAAGAAAATACTTTTCATTTTTTTCTGATTATTACCTTTTAAAGAGCTATTAGAAAATGAAAAGTTGCATGTAAGAGAAGTTAAAATTGTATGGGGAGGGGTGGAACTGTTCAAGACTGTTGCAGGACATATCTGTGAGCTCTTGGAATAAGGGTTAAGAAAATGATGTGCTAACATGAATAATGAAACAAGACATGAAAAGTAAGATTCTACCCATAGTGCATGATGTGAGTTTTCCTGGTGTTGTATGATTTTAATTAATGCAAAAATCTGCTAAAGCTATTGGTACCAGCTGTAAACGTGCATGTAATTTAGAGGTATTAGTTCAGGGTATTTGCATTAGGATCATAAATACTCTAAAGTCTCTTGAGAGATGTAGTATACATTGCCATAACCTATCTGAAAAATAATTTATTACAAAGTTGATGTGTATTCTGTAGTCTGGTTTAGCATAAGACTCATTGCTGCAAAAGTGGATTTAGAAATGCAAGCCTTACTTTTAAACAAACATCTTTCATTCACTCCCCTTTTTCACGCAGACACAGATTTGAAATTGCTGTATATAAATGTCTCTGTATTCTTAGTTCACAGGCAGTCTGAAAGGGCAATATGATGTGAATTCTCTCTATTAGTTCATCTGTACATGATCATGGAAGTTAGAGGATGATAAGCAGCATTTTGTTGGCAGTGAATCAGTTGATCATTTGAGGAGAAATGTCTAGCTAACTTGTTTATTCATCTATGTTTTCTGAAGGCCTGCTAGTCTCAGGTGAACTTACCCTGCCTAAGAAATTTCCAGCCCTTTCATCTGGCAATTTTTTTACTGCCTTTCTCTATCATTTTTTAAATACATTTCCATAAAAGCAATTTTTTATTTGTTTAGTATTGGTGTCTTTTGGAGATATAAACCAATGTTCTGGGGTGTATGAAGAAATGAAGTCTTACTAATCTGTTAAAGTTAGTTTTCCTGCCAAGTGTGGGAGGCTGCCTTTAAAAACAGCAAATCGTTAGATTGCTTCACAGGTTTTAAAGAAGTATTAAAAATTCTGCTTTCACTTTAGTTGATGTCCAGAATGTAACAAAGTCATAAAGTTGAAATTTTGTGATTCTGAATGGTGTCATCTTGTTCTCTAGCTGAGGTTCGATTGGGTATGGGCCACTGCTTCGTGAAACTGAACAAGTTGGAAAAAGCTCGCTTAGCATTCAGCAGGGCTCTGGAGTTAAATTCAAAATGCGTAGGGGCTTTGGTTGGACTGGCTGTTCTGGAACTCAATAATAAAGAGGTGAGTCTGACTTAACAAGAATCCATACTCAGTTTACTTTCTTCTTATCTGAAAAAGCAGACTTTTTATCCTTTGAAAGGTAGCCCAGTTTTTAAAAGGAGTAATAACTTTTGTGGTTAAATTGTTTTAAGTCTGTGTCACTATTGAATGATGTTATAGATATGTACTTGTGATGGGAGCAACACATTCTGAGTAACTTCCTTCTGTTGCTAAAAATCAACACTGTTGCTTATAGAGGTGTTAAGTACAGAAAACCAGTGCTAGCTATTAAAATAATACAAATCCATGGTGAGATGTGTGAATACATGCCCCATCACTTAAAAAAACCCCATAGTGCTGATTTCAAAATCTTACTTTAATGAACAGTAGTTATAATATGTATAATAGCCAGCCTTACTTAGTCATTTGTGACTCTGTGAAGGTTAACTAAATCATTTTGTACTCAGGATGCTCTGAAAGCCCTCGAATACTTGGGAGACCTCACTTGCAATGGCAGCTCTATTCCAGAGCATCAGGAATTTTTTTTTGAAAGAGCATCATGCTAACAGGAAGGTCAAGGTAAAAGATATAGTCCCAGGAGCTTAGTCCTGGACTTTAAGGAGCATAAGCTTTCAAACAAGTGTAAAAGTTGTATCCAGGCTACCTTAGCATGCATGCCAAGTGGTAAACCAAAGAATAGGCAAGAACAAATTTTAACTAGGCTGATGAAACTACGATAAAGTGGTGATCCTACCTCACTAGGTGTTGTATCACTTGGAAAATATGTATGCTCATATAGCTTATTTGAGATCATAAGATCTGAGATGGTTAATCCATGCAAAGGAAGTTATCAGTGGAGGATGGGACCTTTAAGTGTTTAAAAAAAAAAAAATAGTTACATAATTCTATGTTGCTGAAATTTAGTGTTACGCTATCTGTAGAACACGTAGCTCCCTAGAAAGGTCTTTTGTTAGCACACAATGTCTGAAAATTACTTAGTTTACTACATCATGGGAAAAAGAATAACTGTTAGGACTTCCATGAAGAATACTGAAAAATGTGAGCATGAGAGTTTTCTTTCCTAAAACTACAGAGACAACCAAAAATGTTCTAAAGTCAAATTTTATTAAATAGTTCCATGGGTGAGAAACTAATGAAACCTCGTATCTTTCTTTTTTTTCTGAAGGTATTTTGACTAAAGTCAAGGGATGAGTCCACTCATCTTAAGCTTCAAAAAGCTGTGATAAAAAGCTGACGCATTCAAATATGTTTTTTGTTCTTTGTAAGAAATGTATCATCTGTGCTTTACTTCAAACTGTTTTCACAACTTGCACTGCAAAGTTAGTATAACACCAAAGAGTTGACATGGGGGAGGGAGAGCACTTTCTCTGGGGAAAAGATTCTCTCAGAGCTGCAAAATACTAATTGACATCTTTTCTGTGCTTAGATATTTCTAATGTTTCTCTCTCCTAGAAGATGTAATGATGTCAAATCAGGGTTGAGAGTACACTGTGTTCTTATTGAGGTCTGTCTTATCTCTAGTTTTCTTTAATGAAAGTGCTTAGGAGCTCTGAGACCTCTAGCCATCTATTGGCTATGGCTGAAATTGGATATGAGACTCAAATTATTGGAGAACCCAGACATATACATAGTGTGCTTATAAAAAAAACCTCTTTGCCTTTGAAGATTAAACCAAGAAGGATTCAATATCTCCTAATCAAGGTATATTGTTGTGCTAGGTTTGGAAAGATAATGCCTCTTCAAACTGAAATTAATGTTTTTTAGCTGCCTATTAGACTTCATCTTATGTCTCAACTTATAAAACCTAATCTGTTCAATAAGATAGCTTTCTGCTGCTAATTATTGCAAAGTAAAGCACAGACGTTACATGATTACTAGATACCATTTTGGTGTTTCTGTTCAGAAGTAAATACAGATTTAAGTTGATGTGCTTGTGATAGAGATCTCATGGATGTCCCAAATAAATAGCAATTATTTTATCAGTTATGGATTTGAACTTGTAGGTAAGTCAAATCTGTACCCATGGAAAACTTTCTTTAAACTGTAAAGAAAAGAGTAAGTTGATATAATGATAGCCCTATGTAAACACAACAAACTTTTACCATTTCTTTAATTAGAACTAAAGTTCTGGTAGCTCTTGATTCAATATCAGAAGTTCCTGTTTAGAATTTGAACAGGAGAATATTTTCATTTTGCTGTTGAATGAATTGTGTAAAGTGTTGAAACCTAAACCAAACAGGAACTGGGGATATTGAACAGTAGAAGGGAGGCTATCGGGGTGTGAGTGTGAAATGTCAAAGGACACCAAGACTAAGTTGTTTTCTTTTTTTCCTAGAAAGTCCTGCTCTGCTTTTTTCCATCCCTGTTTGGTGGCTTCATTTCCCATTTTCCATCTGTATGCTGCAGAGAGATAAGCTAGTAGCTGAATTTACTCTTTTCTGTGAGCCCAGCAAGGTTTTGTCAGAGTTCCTGCAGCACCCTAGACTGAAGAATAGTTTTGAAGATGTTAATAAGATACAGCTATTGAGATGCTGCTGATACCTGTCAATGTTTCATTTAGGCTGATTCCATCAAGAATGGTGTTCAGCTCCTCTCTAGGGCTTACACAATTGATCCCAGTAATCCAATGGTGTTGAATCACTTGGCTAATCACTTCTTCTTCAAGAAGGTAAGAGGTCTGTGGAACTTTACAGTTAAATACTTGATAACCTCTGAACAGCAAGGATTCCAGTGTTAGATTCGATCTCATTTCATCAGGCTAAGTGGTGCCTAATATGGAACTGTTAATCTAGATGGACAAGTGTAAAGTTTTTGACTTAAATTTTGTATAAACCTTTCTCAAGAAAGCCAAGAAAAGATACCCTGATTTCTTAAGTCAATGTCACCTTTGTGTCCTGAAGGTGGTTGTTTTGCTGTTGGTTTTTCTGCACCACCACCACCCACCCCCCCCACTAGAGAAAAGAACAGTAACCACTAAAACTATATCTGTTGTTATTAATTTAGTTGGTGCTGTGGCTAAAGCTTTCCTCTATTTTCCAGCTGTCCTTGTTTAAATAATAAATCACTTGACCATAAATAATGTGCAGGCTTTCAAATTTCCTTTAACTTCTTGTTTTTTCAGGACTATGGTAAAGTACAACACTTGGCTCTTCATGCTTTCCATAATACAGAAGTTGAAGCAATGCAGGCAGAGAGTTGTTATCAGCTGGCTAGGTCTTTTCATGTACAGGTGAGGCAGTTTTTTAAAGCCCTCTTTGAGATTACACTTAAAAAATCTGTGTTATGAATGTTCATACAAAGCTTATATATGTAAACACTACCTGTTCTTTATTTACTTCTTTTTAATTAGGAAGATTATGATCAAGCTTTCCAGTATTATTACCAGGCCACTCAGTTTGCCTCATCTTCTTTTGTACTTCCATTTTTTGGATTGGGTCAAATGTACATTTATCGAGGGGACAAAGAGAATGCATCACAGTGCTTTGAAAAAGTTTTGAAAGCCTATCCTAATAATTATGAGACTATGAAAATCCTTGGATCTCTTTATGCGGCTTCAGAAGACCAAGAGAAACGGGATATTGCAAAGGTGAGTTTTGCTTCTGCCAGCATCATACTTTTACATACAAGAGTAGAACTTGAAAATCAGACTTGAAATCAGACTGTACCTTAAGTTGCATAAAACTCAGGGTTACTTGGCTGTAGGTATAGAATATTTAATATTGGCTGTTGTGAGGGATCCTCCTAACTGTGGAGAGTCATAGTGTGATGGGTTGACGCTAGCTGGATGCCAGGTGCCCGCCAAAGCTGCTCTGTCACTCCCCCTCCTCAGCTGGACAGGGGAGAGAAAATACAACAAAAGGTTCATGGATTGAGATAAGGACAGGGAGAGATCGCTCAATCAATTACTGTCACAGGCAAAATAGACCCGACTTAAGGAAAATTAACTTAATTTATTGCCAATAAACCAGAGTAGGGTAATGAGAAATAAAACCAAATCTTAAAACACCTTCCCCCCACCCCTCCCTTCTTCTCAGGCTCAACTTCACTCCCAAATTCTCTACCTCCTCCCCTACAGTGTGGTGTAGGGGGATGGGGAATGGGGGTTACAATCAGTTCATCACATGTCGTCTCTGCAGCTTCATCCTCTTCAGGGGCAGGACTCCTCACACTCTTCCCCTGCTCGAACGTGGGATCCCTCCCATGGGAGACAGTCCTCCACAAGCTTCTACAGTGTGGGTCCTTCCCACAGGCTGCAGTTCTTGATGAAATGCTCCAGCGTTGGTCCCCCGTGGGGTCACAAGTCCTGCCAGGAGCACAGTGCTCTAGCATGGGTGCCCCATGGGGTCAAAAGTCCTGCCAGAAAAACCTGCTCTGTGGGCTCCTCTCTCCACGGATCCACAGGTCCTGCCAGGAGCCTGCTCCAGTGCGGGCTTCCCACGGGGTCACAGCCTCCTTCGGGCATCCCCCTGCTCTGGCATGGGGTCCTCCATGGGCTGCGGGTGGATATTTGCTCCACCGTGGACCTCCATGGGCTGCAAGGGGACAGCCTGCCTCCCCATGGTCTTCCCCACGGGCTGCAGGGGAATCTCTGCTCCAGCACCTGGAGCACCTCCTCCCCCTCCTTCTTCACTGAACTTGGTGTCTGCAGGATTGTTTCTTGTACATGTTCTCACTCCTCTCTCCATTTCTGTGCCACTGCAACTTTTTTTTTTTTACCTTCTTAAATATGTTATCACAGAGGTGCTGCCACTGTCACTGATTCGCTCAGCCTTGGCCAGTGGCAGGTCCATCTTGGAGCCAGCTGGCATTGACTCTGTCGGACATAGTGAAGGCTTCTAGCAGCTTCTCCCAGAAGCCATTGCTGTAACCCTCCTGCTACCAAAACTTTGCCACACAAACCCAATACACATAGCTTCTGGACAGAACTGAGACTCCTGCTGGGTTCTGACTAAAGCAAGTTCAGGAATTTAGAGGACCCCTGGCCTCACATTTGTATTTGGTACTATGAAAACGACAGAATTCTTCCCATATACGTTAAAAGTCTCTGAAGATGATAAGTTAGCTAGTGATTTCCAGAAGACACTTGTCTTAGCCTATCTGGAAGGAACCCTTAAATGAAAGGGATTTTAAACCTCATGTTGGGTAAGTAAATGCAAAAACTGTTAGACATCACTTTTCTAGCTTCTCATGTTGGTGTAATAGTTTTTGCTTCTCTAGGACTTTAAGCAGGTGTTACATTCTACAGAAAAATACAATTATGAAGGAAGGAAACTAATGCCATTTTATGGTGACCAAATTGTGCAGGTATTTAGGATGTTTTTGTTTGTAGTACAGTGTAGCTTTCTAGTGTTAAGGTTAATACCTTCACTCTTTGATTTTATTTATATGTTTTTTAAACAGTGTGTGTCCACAAAGAGGCATAATTATTTTCTGCTCTTTTTCAGGGGCATCTGAAGAAAGTCACAGAACAATATCCTGATGATGTAGAGGCATGGATTGAGCTAGCCCAAATTCTAGAACAGACTGATATACAGGTATTATTAATATACACTTGGTGAATTATGTGTGTACTTTTCATAAGAGCATAAGAGCTCATTCTCTTACTTCTTTTATCCACTTTCCCTTTCTTTGTAAAGGGTGCACTGTCAGCCTATGGTACAGCCACACGCATTCTGCAAGAGAAAGTACAGGCTGATGTCCCACCAGAGATTTTGAATAACGTGGGTGCCCTGCACTTCAGGCTGGGAAACCTAGGAGAAGCGAAGGTATGTAATTACTCAAAGTTTGAATTGAGTTTCTTGATCACCCAGAAGTTTTCCTTTAAGAATATTCTGGAGTGCTTTATTCCTTTTTTCTTTTTATACTTTAGAAATATTTTTTGGCATCACTGGATCGTGCAAAAGCAGAAGCTGAACATGATGAGCATTATTACAATGCTATCTCTGTAACAACGTCCTATAACCTTGCCAGACTATATGAGGCGATGTGTGAATTTCATGAAGCGGAAAAGCTCTATAAAAACATTTTAAGAGAACATCCTAATTACGTTGATTGTAAGAAACATTTGGTATTTTAGTTCCACAGTCCTCCTTATAATACCAAAAATCTTCCCGTTTACAGTGTTTTCTGGTCTCCTTATATCTCTCTTCACTTCTTTTCATAGTAGTTTTGGGGCCTGCTTACCTACCTGCTATTTTCCCTACTTTTTTTTTTTTTTTAAGGCCTGCATCATCCTTATAGTCCAATCTCCAGCTTTAAGCCTTCTAATTATTGGTAAATCATACCGTACTAAAAAAATCTAGCAAAATTAGCTTATGTAGACTTGCATGCCTTTGCTCCCTTGCTCTCCACTCCCACCAAAGCCTAAGCACCTCAGCACTTGGGTGCAATCAAGGCCATCGACTTGATATGCCTGGGCTCTGCAACTCTGTGTGGGTGGAAATAGACACCCTTTGGGAGAATCACTTTATCTTGGGTCTTGGCCTTCCTCCAGGGAAGAAGGGCTGTTGAGGGTGTTAGCACAGCTTCTATGGCACATCCTGGTTTTTCTCCTCGCTCTGCTCTTCCTCTTGCCCCTACGTAGCTGACCTGTGATATTTGCTGCAAAGGCGACGTGGTAGCCCTTGCTCAGCAAACTGCAGCACACAGCATGCCCCAGCCTAATCTATAGCCTTTTCCCTGCTTGTTTTCCATTGTCACCTGCTAACTGATACTTTTCCCAAAGCTTGCAGAGACGGGAGAGCTGTTTAAAGTGGAGGGAGAACTATGTAACTGATGTATCCTTCTTTCTTTGAGGTTTCTCAATTGTCTTTAACTTATGAAACCAATTAAAAACATTTACATTACTTTAACTGTTAGAAATCTGCAATTCTCTATCACCATTGTGGACAGACGTTCCTCTTCACGTGGTGTGTCTCACTGTGAATAGAATGTGAAAGGTATCTTAATGTTTGCTGTCCTTAGCAGATCAAGAAAAAGATTGCTTTTGAAATTCATGCATGGCCAATATTTTTTTTGTTTGAGATGACTTTAACCTGTTTCCTGATTTTTTTTTTTTAAATTTTATTGTATTTTCTATTTTTATTCTTAGGCTACTTGCGCTTGGGAGCTATGGCTAGGGATAAAGGAAACTTTTATGAGGCTTCTGATTGGTTTAAAGAAGCACTTCAGATAAATCAGGTTTGTAACCCAAGTTAAAACACTTGAAATACTACCTTAATTTAAAATTTTATTTTCTTTTTGTTGCATTTTTATTTTCTTTGTTCAGATAAACTAGGTGAAGAAGAGAGAGCTACTGTAATCTGCTCTGTGTGTGTGTTGTTTGTTGTTTTTTTTTTAATATGGAATTCTATTTAAGAAAACCAGCATTTTATACTTGAAAAAGTAACCTTCCAAGGGAAAATGATGCTTTTGCAACTTACAGTGAATTTTTATTTAGGACCATCCAGATGCTTGGTCTCTGATTGGTAATCTTCATTTGGCTAAACAAGAGTGGGGTCCCGGACAGAAGAAATTTGAAAGAATATTGAAACAGCCCTCCACACAAAATGATACTTATTCCATGCTGGCTCTTGGCAACGTCTGGCTGCAGACTCTACATCAACCCACAAGAGACAGAGAAAAGGTAATGGGCGTCTGTCTGCCCTGTGTGTGTTTTATTTATTTAATTTTTGTATGCTCTTAGTTACTCAAAGCCTTTTCTTGATGCCTATTTGGCATCTTGTAGCCCATAAAACTTATGGGTAGATCTTTTAATACCCCATTATAGAAATGAGTGATCAATTGGGATACTTCTTTCTGCAGGAGAAGCGTCATCAAGACCGTGCATTAGCGATCTACAAGCAAGTACTCAGAAATGATCCAAAGAATTTGTATGCTGCTAATGGCATAGGTGAATATTAGACTCTGATTTTCCTTGAGAGGTGATGATATTCTTATGTTTCATGCTTTAATATAGAATTGTTTTTGCAGGGCCTGAACGCTATGTAGTAGAGCATAGGAAAGAATAGCTTTCATATGGCAGCTTTGTCACTTAGTTTTTAATGGGGAACTTTATTCAGGCAATACTTTGTTTTCTTTGGTAGGAGTGCATAGTACATCAACCTGGAAGCTTACACTGTGCATATTACTTTCCCCTTAGGAGCTGTCTTGGCGCATAAAGGATATTTCCGTGAAGCTCGTGATGTTTTTGCCCAAGTGAGAGAGGCAACAGCAGATATCAGTGATGTGTGGCTAAATTTGGCACATATCTACGTAGAACAGAAACAGTACATCAGTGCTGTGCAGATGGTAACATCTCTAAATTGAACTACATAATATGTTGGGTTAGATGACTTCTGGATGTTTCTCTGCTGTCATAGCAACTGTGAAAGTTTCTGAATAATATTTTAACAAGTTATAGGTCTATTTCTAGCATGCTGTTGGCTGTCAAGTCTAGATTTAAAAACAAACTGCCAAATGTGGCTAAGGGGTAACAAAGCACCTACCAACTTGTACACTTGTTTTTTTGGTAGCAGAGTTAAAACATAATTAGGTCAGAATTTTGGTCTCGGAATTAATTTTTAGTCAGAGAGGTTTCAGTTATTGTAGTTGCTCTGTGATTTACATTCAGATGTTACTGAAGTAAGTAAATGCAATTTGCTGCTGAGATTTTTTTACTAGCAACACTTCCTATTTTTTTTCTTGCAAATGATTTCATAAATAACAATCAGAGCTGTCTGACAAGCTGACTGTGCCATGATTTCTTTCACCACAGCTAACATTACAAGGTAATTCATGTTAGAAGAAACCTGTTGAGGTCATCTAGTTCAACCTGCTCAAGCAAACTACCGTCCAAGTAACCTATTCTAACTAAACTGACTCAGTTGATCAAAAGCATACAAGTAAGCTAAAACCAAAGTGGATGTTGGACAGAAGCTCAGAACAAACATGTTTCATTAAGACTGAGTCCACAGTGAGGATCTAAAATACTTAGTTCAGAGCTATCCTGAAGCTTTTTGTGATGGTTATAAGGAAGAGATACTGGGCCTTTCTTACCTGATCAAGACCTCAGTAGTTGCTATCCTCCAGGGAACTACTGTTACAAAGCTTTGGTAACATGATCAGATTCATTCTGTTGTGTTTGAATGGGGTTTGTTGTCTTTTTAACACCTCACCTGTTTTTATTGACAAAAAGCCTAATGGAAATCTAATTTTAGCAATTGTTAAAGCAGTGAATTACAATGGGAATATGGGTATCGTTTTCAGCTTTTGATTTGTCAGAAAAATATTGTACTAATTTGCTAATATATTTTAAGTAAAGCTGTTAGTAGAAACGTGTTTATTTACTGAGGTGCTTTATTGTTCCCTGGGTTCTGCTACGCAGCCAGTACAAGCCACAGTCTGAAATACGCAATATTGGACTCAAAGGGAGATGAATTGAATTTAATAGCGTAGCCTACTGCAGCCACAGCAATTATTCTAGTGAGTTCTCTACCATAAAGCATAAATATCTGAGAAAGACTTAAGCTAAATACAAAATCTTTTGACTAAAGGTGAGTGAAAATTGGGCACTCACAACACAGTGTGATCCAAGAGTAGTGAGTTCAGGCATTACAGATCAGGGCAGTTTCTGTATTTGAGCTGGAAATAAAAATTATTTTCTATTTTTTACTATTTTGGAGGTTTAGAGAGGGTGAATGATTCCCTGAGAAAAGAGTATGTCAAACAAAAGGCGCTGGTTACTCCAAAGACTAAGCTTCATAACTGTTTGAAGCTTTAATTCTAGACCCACAAAACTTACAGTAACAAGTCTTCTTTTACACTTTAGAACAGCTAGATATCCCTTGGTATGCCAAGTTATTCAGCTAGGTGGACAGAACAAATTTGACATTACCTGAAAGGTGTGGATTTTTTTTTTTTAAACTAATTGCATCAGATATGTGGAATTACTACATTAAATATATTTCAACTTGTAAAATATCTTGTATGAATAAAGAAAATAGATTCCCCCCCAGCAATCCCCCATACTGCAGAGAATAATTGAGTGCTCCTAAAATGAGTCATGTTTGTTGGACTTTGTTACAATAGATGGTACTTGCAAAGTATTCTATTGTATTTTAAGACCTACAGAGCCTCCTGGACTGCTGCCAGTTTCCAGAAAAATCAGGTACTTGCTATGGAATAGCAGAAAGAATTTTCTGATCAGTGAAAAGGAGGCATCCATGTAGCATGACACACTTCTTTAAAAAATAGAAGGCATATCAGCAGTAATGTTTTTTAGGAATAGAAACATTTGCTGGTGTTAGCTAGCCAAAATAACTAACCATTGTCACCTCTTAATTTGATTTTTTTTTTTTTTTTCCATTCAGTATGAAAACTGCCTCAGAAAGTTCTATAAGCATCAAAATACTGAAGTATTGTTATATTTGGCCCGGGCACTCTTCAAATGTGGCAAATTACAGGAATGCAAACAAACTTTGTTAAAGGTATGAATATAAAACATCATATATCATAGAATAAAATTACTGTAAGTTGATGCATGTTTGTGTCTCTTTAAATTCAGTAGTCTGAGATTGAAATAATAGTGCTTATTTTCTGTATGTCACTTCAGTATACCTCCGTATCACGTAGCATACCTTAAAAACATTCTTATTATTTACAGGCCAGGCATGTAGCACCAAGTGATACAGTCCTTATGTTTAATGTGGCTTTAGTGCTACAAAGACTAGCTACCTCTGTCCTGAAAGATGAAAAAAGCAATCTAAAGGAGGTGCTTAACGCTGTGAAAGAATTGGAGCTCGCCCACAGGTGAAGACAACTTATTTCTACTCGTTATAATCTGTTTTGTTGTTCCCTTACAGTAAATTTGCAGTTTAGCTCACAAATCTGGTTAGAAGACCAATCATATCTTATAAAGCACTGAATATAATTCTAGAGTTTCTAGTAGGAAAACAAAGATTGGGCCTGACAAAACTACATGTTCAGACTTTGCTCCAGAGCCAGTTTTGTTTGGCCAGGTGGCCAATAGTATTTCTCAGAGGGTTTTATATTACTATGGCCAAGATGCACCACTTCCTGGAAGAGCACAGTTGAAAAAAATGTTGAAAATTATTCTACGAATACTTTTTTGGATTATTTCTTTCAAAACAACTTAAAAGGCTTAAAAGCAAATCTATTTATATTATATAAGTGTAGTTAATGACTGGTAGCCCTTGAAAACCAATTTTGCCCTACTGTTGGCAAGTAAAGCCTAAGTACCCTAATGGCTTAAGAACAGAAGCAGTTTCTTAAGTCTGTTTGAGATCTTTTAGTTCTCTTTTAAAAAAAAAAAAAAATTCTGGGCAGAAAACTGTGATTAATCTCATCCAGTTGTCACCATCTTTGAACAGAAATCTTTCAACCGTTTATTCTGCTCCTAGGTATTGCTGGTGTAGCTGGTGCTTGCTTTATGCATTCCTAGCTCTGCTGTTGTGTTGAGGATGGATGTTGCCTTTCAGTAATTTTGTCAACTAAAGCAAGCCTTTCATACTAGCAAGCATTTCACAATTCTGGTGCTTTACGTGATGCAAACTAAACACTTGAACACAAATTCTAATTTACATTAACTAAAAATTCAGGTATCTATCACACTTTAGAAAATATTTTCCATAATCTGAAACTTCAGCAAGGAATTACTTTCTTCATGTGCACAAGAATTTGAGTTCAGTCTAGCGCACTTCATTTAAAATGTCTCTGATGGAATATGGGAAGAAACTGTGGCAACCTTGAAAGTTAGAAAGTTGTTTTCCTTTAAATGAATTGGAGAAGCTGTTATCGAAACTCTGATCATCATAGCTTACCCATTTACTTGAAGATTTGTTGTATTTGCAAGGGCCTGTCAGCTAGGTTTAAAGAGGCTTTTCTGGAAGGATTTTTAAAAAATAAGTTTTCCTTCCTTTTCTTATGCTGGTTTCAGGCACTTAAGCTGTGTCAGATAAGGAATAAATCTACTGGGGTCAGTAATGTACTTCTTGCTAGGAGCCAGTAAATGAAATCTTAGAACTCTCTTTAGAATTTTCTGAGTTTTTGTTCCCCTCTAGAGTGGTTTTAGAAAGTTTTAAATTTGGAGAACTCTGAATGTACTTTTATGCTGTTGTATTAAAAGAGGCTGCACGCAGAGAAAACTGGTGAAGTTTCCTCATCTGTTGAGTTTTATAGGATTGTAATTCAGGAGGAAATGCTCTGTTTTAAGGCAAAATTATAATAAATATGTAAGTAATGCCATATTTGCTTAGTTTGGTTTGTTGTTTTTTCCTGCAGGTACTTCAGTTACTTGAGTAAAGTAGGTGATAAGATGAGGTTTGACTTGGCACTTGCTGCTACTGAAGCCAGGTAAAAAAACCCGAACAACCAAAACCATAAACAAATCCTTCATTCAGATACCAAGTGGAATATTTTTTGTCTTGTTTTTTCATACTAAAACTGGATTCCAAAATTTCAACTGACAATGTCTTAGAACAGTAGAAATACAAGTGAAGGGTTACTCCCTGTTATGTTTCATTCTTTTCCTGTCCTTGCTTTCTAACATTTTTTTGTGTAGTCTAAAACTCTCAACATGTGGTGTCTGCCATTAGCTGGAGCCTGCAAAACTTCAGCTGTTTTAATGGTAAATTTTCCATCAGTGAGAGTGCAGTGACACTTGTTTAAACATCTCTAGCTCTCACTGTTTTGACTTGAAACATAATCCAACAGGTTTGCTTTCATGGAGATTTTTTGAGGTAGTTCATGGGTGAATAGCATGGGTCAGTTATGGAAATATGAAAAACTTCTGTTTTGCAGAGTCTAGTCTGCTTTAATTTTTGTTCAGGGTAATGAGCTTGTACACAAGCCTATTCAAATCAGTTTCCTTGTAAGCTTATTTCTCAGGTTTTCACTCAGTATGCCCCATGTTTCATTTATGGCACATTCTTCTAAGATTTTTGTAGCCATACACAAGTAACATCCGTTGGCCATCATGCACTGTACGTCTTAAACATATGGTTAAAGCACTTTGTACAGAGAAAATTTTAACATTAAAAGAAATGTCATTGTAACATTAGCTAAGAGGGTATTGAAAGTGCCTTGCTTTAGTTTTTCATGAGACTTGAACACTTCATGCAACCTTAATTCTTACACAACTGGGTTTTTTAAGATAGAATTTGTACCTACCTTTCTGATTAGGTTTGCTAGTATGTTGTGATTAAATACAAGTTCTTATTAACCATACTTCTGAAGCTGCCCAAATTAGTTGGGATGAGTCTTTGTATGTTCATGTGGGGTTTTTTGTATATGAATTGGCTAAATTTTAAGTGTGAAGCCATATGTTCTGAAATTGTATGCTGCAAGATAAATTAGCTTACTAGAAAGTGACTTAGTTTACTCAAAAATCTGTACTACTCTACTCTTCTATTGTGCTATTTCAAGTAGGTTTTTTTTCCTTTGTCGGTTATATGAACATAGTGTGATACATGCCCTTTATAAAACTGTTTGTTCTTGTAGTATGTGTCTGCCACCTTCCTTTACTTGAAAACATTGCATGTTACAGGCAATGCTCTGACTTACTGAGTCAAGCCCAGTATCACGTGGCTCGGGCACGCAAGCAGGATGAAGAAGAGAGGGAGCTGCGTGCAAAGCAAGAGCAAGAAAAGGAGCTGCTTCGCCAAAAACTACTTAAAGAACAGGTTTTGTTCTGTTACATTGTGTATACTGTATTTTTTTAAAAAGTATACTTTATTTTTAAAAAGTCTGCATATCAACAATATATATGCTCCTGTTGCTCTGTGGTGGTACCTGGTATTACTAATAAAACATCTAGTAGCTATTTTTCTTAGTTATAGTAAGTGCTAGCAGAAAATGTTACAGGTAACAGGTGATACTCATTCTTTCTTCCACATAGCCTCAGAAATAGATTTTTTTATTTTATTTTATTTTTATAATGAAATCAAATTGGTGGCCCAGAAGGTCTGCCATCAAATTTCTGTACTGACAGTCTGGATGAGGAAGCACTTGGTGCAACAGTTCTTTTGGACTTTTGCCTACTCTAGCATAGGTTTGTAGAATTTTTTTTTTTTTTTTTCCCCATGTGGACCTTCTGCTATGACACAGACTGTCAAAAGTCAATTTTCCTGTTTCTTGTCAGCAAATAATTTATACGCCTGTGATTATAATCACTGTGATGCTGCAAATACAATAGTAACGGTTAATTTTCTCTCTGTTTCAGGAAGAGAAGCGTCTAAGAGAAAAAGAAGAACAGAAGAAACTTCTGGAACAAAGAGCTCAATATGTGGAGAAAACCAAGAATATTCTGATGTTCACTGGTGAAGTAGAAGGATCAAAAGAAAAGAAACGTGGTGGTGGTGGAGGCAGGGTAGAACAGAATTTTTTTTTTGTAATCTCCATTTTCCCCTTTCAATACATGGTCTCTTGCAGTAGTACAGGTTTTTAATTTCAAGCTCCTAGGCTCCACTGAGTGAAATTGCACAGGTTTAATACCCAAATGTAAAAATTGGAAGATAATACTTAAAAGTTCCAAGCACGGTGGCATTGCCAAAATCTATTCTATTCTATTCAAGCTGTGAAAATAACAGAGGATGATTATTTTATTACCTGCAAATTTGGAATCACTTTCTAAATTATATCAGTCTAGAGGTTATGGAAGGTTGGCACAAGAAGGTCTGTATTTTCATATCTTTGAAAACGTCTTCAGATAATGTTTCTATTATAAATTGTTTTCTGATAGGTTTTTAATTAGAAGGTGAATAATAGCCTATATTGTGGGGCTTTTATTTATTGCAGCGTTCCAAAAAAGGAGCAGGGGAATTTGATGAGTTTGTCAACGATGACAGTGATGAAGATCTGCCCATGTCTAGAAAGAAAAAGAAGAGGAAGGGCAGTGGTAGTGAACAAGATGGGGAAGAAGAGGAGGGTGAGAGAAAGAAGAAGAAGAGGAGGAGGTAACTGATCCTTTAATGTTAGACTTCCCTGAGAAATAGTATGGCTTTTAAGTATATTCTTCTGCAGTCTTTCATAACGGTTTAAAAAATGAGCCGTTGTCAAGAGGTCACATGATTAATTTTTATTTACACATGCACATTATAAGACTTAAACAGCCACTCTGCAAAAGTAGTATGAGTTACACCTGATAAACTGGACATTTCTTGAGACTGCTATTTTTGCACGTGTTAAGGTTTTTTTGTGTTGTTATGTTTTACATAATATAAAATGTTTCTGTTTAAGACCCCAGAAGGCAGATGAGGGAAGTGATGATGAAGAGCATGAAAATGGTCCAAGACCTAAAAAGAGACGTCCACCCAAAGCAGAAAAAAAGAAGGCTGTAAGTTAAACCCCGAATAACTGCATCAATTTCTAAGTATGCATTTGGAATTCAGCATTACCCTAGTTGAGATATTTATTAATGTTGAAAATTACAACAAAACTTCTTGTAGCAAACTGCCTTTGAGCTTATTTTTATCCTCCCCTGTTGCTATTGCTGTTTCAAGGATGAAAAGGATAATTCCCAAGCCATCTAGAATTAAGTGATAGTAAATTGAAAATTTTTTTAAAAGCATGTCTGGTTTTCTGAATATGTTTCTACAGTTGGGCACTATGCTTTAACCAGCCACATGAACAAGCAACCCTTTTTTTTTTTTTCTCTCACCACCTGTACAGCCCAAACCAGAACGTCTGCCTCCTTCAATGAAAGGAAAGATCAAATCAAAAGCCATCATTTCATCAAGTGATGATTCCTCTGATGAGGATAAACTCAAAATTGCTGATGATGGGTAAGAACCTTAATTAACTTTGTATGTACTAAAGTTTCAAAGCATGCTTTCAAGAGAAACTGCAGTGTTAATAATAATGAGATAATGCGAAGATAACGAGAAGCCTTCCATTGTACTCACAACATCACTTTCCAGTGCAAATTAATGCCACTCATTCTTCTCATTCTGATAGCGCTAGCATTACTCAAATCCTGGTGTCTCATTTTATTTTTAAGCTAAGGATAGCATCTTTTAATACTCATTTTTGTTTTCTTTTCCCTACAGACATGCTAGGAATAGCAACAGTGATTCAGATGATGGGGAGCATCAGCACAGTAAACGCATTGTTTCTGATAGTGATTCTGATAACAGAAACAAATCTGGTAGCGAGGCAGGTAGTCCAAGGAGGTCCAGTGTCCACCCATCTGAGGAAGATTCTGACAGTGACAGGTCGGCTAGAAAAAGGAGGCGATCAGATTCGGAGCAGTCTGACAATGAGTCTGTACAGTCGGGGAGAAGTCGTTCTGGTGGTTCAGAAAACGAATCTCGCCCAGCTTCTCGCAGTGCTGATTCAGACAGAGATTCTGAGAGAGGATCTGACAACGAGGGTTCTGGCAGAGGATCTGGTAATGAATCTGAACCAGAAGGATCCAACGATGAGGGGTCTGAAGGTGGTTCAGATGACAGTGATTAGATCTAAGTTACAGACCATCTTTTTAAAAAGTTCATGTAAATATGTTTCAGTTATAGGGAAAATCCAATTTTTATATTTGAAAACTGTGATTTAAAAAAAAAAACCTTAATGTTTTAGTAAACTGTTGTGAGACCTTCCTGTGATTCTTTCTATTATCAACTAGTGGATGTTTCTCTAAGTTGGCTTATGGTGTATTCTTAAATTGAAACTGCTGTAGAGGAAGAACAGAATCCCTGTACTATAATCAGCGCACCAAGGATGGAATGCATGTAAAACCTATGGAACATAAAATCTCTGTTTAGGTGGTTCCAGTGTGGCTAAAACTGTGTGTTCTGTGCTTATACATGCATAGATGGATCTTAAAATCCTGCCAAATGGAACAAAGAGCTGTGGATATTTATCTTTTTCCTCATTCTGAATAAAGGTTAGTAGGGAGGTTTTTCTTACTTTTTATTAAAGAATACATTTGCCATGATGCAGCTCCTTATGTTTCCAACAGTTTGTTCTTTTGCTTCTGTTTTTGTGTTGAATCAGTTGAAAAGATGCAGATATTGAAGAAATTTTATAAAGTAGACAGATGAAATATTTAAATTGGCAGGTAAAAAAAAAAAGTTTAGAGAACTTCGTATTACTTGAGAAAGGTAAAGTTGCCAGTGTCACAATAAACTGTTCCTGCTTATTTGCTTGGAGTGATTTATTTTATCCCTTAAAAGGTATAAGCAGAAAACCTGAAAATGTTAAATTTGTCAAAGGAATCTGTTTTGAGAAAGTAGTCTTAACATTATTTTAGCTTAAGTACATGGATTTTGGAATTAAGTCCTTTCATATAATGTGTTCAGGAACAACAATGAAAAATTGCTGTGTTGTAAAGTAAAGTGAATCTGATTTCTCCCTGCAGTTCTTAAAAAAAAAAAAAAATCGGTATTTTTGCACCAGTCAAAACCAATTTTTTTCCTAACTTTTTTCATTGGGCATCACGTTCTATGTTGAGCATTTGCTAAGAGAAAATTGTGTAGATCTCGATAGTGTATTACTACTGTTTTTAATAGACTGTATAGCCTAAATTATGTTGCTTTGTTTTTAGAAGGTCTGAATCGTCACTACTGATAATTCACTTCAAGTACTAACAGAAAGTTAAGTTTCCCATGCTGCTATTTCGGGTTTGCTGTTCTCATTGTGTATGGTTGTTTTTTTTCATGTGTTTATGGGCTGTTGGTAACCATAGCAGACAAAGCAGAATGTAGAACAGTTGAGATCTCTTTTTGTGCCTCAGTTTGGTATCAAGTTTCTATATGTGGTCTTACCTAAAACTTACACGCTTGGTAACATTCAGAGTAGAAGAACAGCTGTCATCTTTATTGGATTAGAGCAAAACTGAATCTTAACTCAGTCTTCTTGTTGATACAGTCACTTAGGTGGAAGATTTGCGACAGTCCAAGACTGGAAGCTAGATAGCTTTGAAAACATGCGCTTGAAGAAAATTTGTGGCCCTTGTGGGAAATGATTCTCCTGTCAAGAGAATCATGACCCAGGTGCTCACCTCTCAGAATCACAAGCAAGCAGTGCATAGATGAGGTATGTGCCCTTGATGTCACACTGCTTCACTTATGAAGCTATGAAGAAGTGTGAGACAAGTGCAACTAAGGAAAACTAACACATGCAAGGTGAAACAAATGGAGCACTGACAGAAATGGCAAGTATGAGAGTAACCAGCTTTTAGCAATAGGAAGGAAAAAGAAAACGTACAGCACTTACTGTGGGATCTTAGAAACTTTTTTCTGCCTCAAATACATCTCTACTATCATAGCCTTCTCTATCATGTTATTAATTGTATCTTAGTAATGAAAGGTCTGAAGGTCTTGGTTTGGTGCTGTATGTAGCAAAATAAATTTTCTGTAGGTAAAAGCTCTAGATAAAGTGCTGAGTGGGTCTTCAAATGTAACAGCCAGTTGGAGAGAAATATTTTCAGTAAGTGCAAAATAAAAGGGATTTCCATACATCTGTTGTCTGAGGAGTAAGTGCATTTTTTGAGCTTTCCACAGTCAGAAAGGAGGCTTGTAAGAAGAGGTTATGACTTGAAAGGGCTTGAAATGCATGATAAAAAAGAGGCCAATCAGCAGGGAAAGAAAGGGGATGGGATGCCTTTGCTTCTCTCTTCCCCTGCTTTTGCTGAGCAAAAGGAAAAAAAAAAAAGAAACAGGAGTCAACTTTTCTTTTTATTTCCCTTTGATTAGGAGGGTTGATGGGAGGATTAAGGTTACATAAAAAGTCACACGTTGCCATAAGTGGAGAGAAAGCTGTCTTTTAGCTTAATTCGTGTTTTCTAATGCTTGTTTTTTTGAAAGGGCAGTGGTGGAACAATGTTGCCATCAGTCTCTTGGCAGCATTCCTTGCCTTCTGAAGTAGGTGGTTGGCTTGCAGCTATTAAATTCCTTTATTTATAGCAGTAATTATTCCAGAATAAAATACAGGGAGTTAGAAGTATAATACTGCATTGCTATAGATGTGTTTTATTCCTAGTTTCTATTATGCATCCACTAGCAAGTTGCATGACTGTATGAAAAGAGCATTTCCTGTTGAGCCCTGTTGTAGCTTAGTGTTTTGCTTTCCTCACATGTGAGCAAGTCTTCTCTAGAATACAGTAGAAAAGGATCGTGTAGAGTTTGCTGTTAGCAAGCAGTTGGGTTAAAAAAAAAATAAAAAGTGATCTCATTCTTGAGATTTATAGACTAGGCCCTTCACAGAACAAACACTTCAAATGTAAAAACTCAGCAACTTTTAATTATTTTTTTTTTATTGCATGGTTTGGGGTTTTTTTTGGTTTGGTTTGGTTTTTTAAATCCACCTACTCAAGTTTTTCTTTTTCAGAAACTTTTCCAGGCCAGTACTTAGTGGGAAGGAGTAGCTGTCACTGCTGAATAACAAGGCATCCACATCTGCATGTAAATTGATTCATTATCTTTCTAAATGTCCACTTCTGCTAATTTAACTCTGAAAACAACAGTAGTCTATCCACATAGAACCAAGGTGCAGGAATATATTTGGGACTGTGCTGCCAAGGAATGCTTTGGACAAGGCAAGACCTATGGTAGGAGCACTACAACTAAAATTATATCAGTTCTTTTTATAAGGAAGGGCCTCTTTCTGGGAATAAGTTGCTTTCCATGTTAAATATTTCACTGTTTAGAGCAATGTTTAGTGTAGCAAGGCCTTTCCCTCCTGCACAGATTTAAACTGTTACATTAGGGGCTGATTAATACTCTTGTCATCTTACATCATAACTTGCAGGATTTCTGAAACAAGTTTCTACCCTACTTTGTTTTGTGCAGTTTCTTTGCTTTTACAGTGTAGCACTCTGATGATCTACCTGTTTGATAGTAGTAGCTAACTTACAGCAAGTCTTAAATTCAGAAGTTATCTGGAAAAAATCCTACAGCTGGAGCAGCAGTCAGCAAGGACAAATTCAGTATTAATATGGGTAACAAGAAAACAAGTTGACAAAATGGATGTGAAAAAGGGGTATGTAACCAAATACTTATTCTTCTCATAACTAGTAGTATTTACCACTCTTCTAATAATAGTCATTTATTATTTAGCTAAACACTGTAGTTGCTCTACAAGAAGGGGGTTTGAACTGGAGACAGAATCTGAGGGAATACCAAATATGGGAATACGTGGGAGAGAAATGCAAAGTAAGTATACTGAAAATGTGTAGTATATCTATCTTATCTGTGAATTTCAGTCCACATCCACTCAAACTTTGTGTGCTTTATACTAGAAATACTTGAAACTTTAGGATTTTTAGTCTTGGCAGAACCTATAGAAGGTACAGTTGTATAGTCATACAGCTTGTAACATCTTTTTTTCCTTCAGTCCATAACTACTAGAGAAGTTAGGAGTGCTCATCATAGTTACGTTCTTCTTTGAATTAAGCTTATTTTATTGTCAGGGATAGACCTGTCCCTCTGGGTTGTTCTCTTCCCTTTTAAAATTTTTCCTTTACCCTTAGGCAAAAAATCCTCCTTTCTCTGCAGCCTCCAGAGATTGGGACTGGCTAAATATTTGGCCTGCGAACTGTCATACTGGCACACTTGATTAAGTTTACCTTTTTCTTATTGCTCCATTTGAAATGGTACATGCTAAAGAGTCCATATTGCTGCTTCTAAATATGTATCATCCTTATCTTATGCATGTCCCTGTATCTGACTGGTTGGAGATGCCCCCAACATTGTTCTGGTGTTGCCTGAACTCCAGACATGCTGTGTTTGGCTCAATAGCATACACGAGTCTCCTATCTTCCCATCCATCCCTTGTTGATCAAAATACAAATACCTTGCTTTAGCCAAAGAAACAGTTTCTGTTAGCACCTTAGAGTAAGTGTCACGTGGTGGTGACCTCAGTGGTATTTTCTGTTGCCTTAAAAGGGCCAAAGCAATGCTCTGGCTCTTTAAACATTTTTGAACCCTTCAGAGTTCTTAGCAGATTAATCTGGTCTCTTGCCTCTCTTTAAGGCTGTGCAAATACCATATGCCAACTGCAACATTGAGGACTGTCATGGGTCTGCTCTGGTTTTTAGGGCTCAGATCACTGGCCTCCTGTCAAAGGTGCAGTTCAGTCGTCACACAATACCTTCAGTGACAGATACAGTCTGAAACATTCTGGCTTAGACCTATATTCCAATGCATAATTGACTTTCTAATTTAGGTCACAGAGCTAGTAGTAGAAAACTCAATCTTTGCTAGCTGCTTATCCTGCAACACTAGGACAAAGAAGGTTGTAGTTTAAGAAGAATCTCTTGCAATGCTATGTTCTCTCTGGTGTTTCCAGAAATCTGTTCAAAGAAAATTGTCTTTAGAGTCCTCTCATCTTTGCACCTGAAGGTTCTGGCTATACAGGCACTGCTAAATCAACAGACTGCTTTAAACAGGACTCTTTCAAGCAGAGGCAAGATATTAATAAATACCAGTCTTGACTTTCCTTGCACTGGTGGCAGTTTACTACTGATTTTGAAGATGCATCAGACAATATGCAGCATGTCCTCTTCATCCATGTCCACTCATTCAAGATGGATAACTATGTTTTGTTCCAACTTTCAGTACAGTTAGAACTGCTGTAAACTGGCTCTTCTGTCTGTATCTGCTATGCTGTACTAAATTATGTCTAGTACATGTCCCATTCTCACGGGAGTCTATCTAAGCAAAAGGCAACATTCTTTTTTTCTTGGGGGAAGCTGTCCTGGACCAGCTGAAGAGGAAGAATTATTGTCAGCAGCTGTTTTCTAGCACTAAAAAGGAAAGAGGAATTGTGTCTCATTTGGGTTTGCAGGAGGTAAGCATATTCATGCAAAAATTCAATTTGGTGATTTTAGTCAAAATGATCTTGACTTTCCAGGCAGATATATTTTTAACCTCCAGCATACCTATTTCTAAATTTCGGCAAGGATATACTTGTTAAGAATACTTGCACTTAGTGGTAGGTACAGACTGCTTGTGGGGCATATTTGTCTGCTTTTGATGATGTCTTAGCAGGTATTCAGCTTGTTCACTCTCCTGATGACCTACAAGAAGTTGGAATTTGTTTCTTAATATCAGAGCTACTACTTCTGGTCAGATCTTACTTCTTTCAGATTATTATCACTTCGCTGAGTTTCTATTAAATGCTCCTTGTAGATGAAGACTCTGCTGGTTAGACAGTAAAAAGCATTTCCCTGGATGTATACCTGGATGCACTGGGTTTTCTGCCTAGTATTCGTGCAGACTAGTTCCTCTCATCTTCATGCATCTGTTTTGTTTTATGGCCACTGCATCAGGGGAATTAATGTGTACTTGCAGGAGTCTTAACCCATAACTTTTTCTTGGAGTGTTCCTCATTTTTCTTCAGTCTGTAGGCTGTTCATGGTTTGTGCAAGGCAAAAGAGCCTTACAGGCATCAGCTGAGTTACAGATATAAGGTAATTAGGTGTTGCCACCTAATAAACAAAATTATATTACTGGAAAGGACAGGGAAGGAAAGAAAAAGAAACGATGTGTCAGATTAGTGCTTGAAATACATATTATTTATGGTCTTGCTACTTAATTACTTAGGTCTCTGTATTTCTAACTTGGATCTTCTATTTTGGCTTTCTTTTGCTCTGCACTCATTTATTCATAATTAATGCCCAAAGAGACACTCGCTTTGCCCATGAGTGTTTTAATTTCCATTGTTTTTAAACACTGCAGGGGAAAGGATATTTTCTTCAGTGCATACGCAAGAGCTATTGATCTATCCAACTGTAAAACCAGGGAGTGGAAACTGTAACAATACATTAAAAAAAGAGAAAAAAATGTATCACAAAAGACATCAACTAGAGACAGAAAATCATTCACCCTCAAGAACAGCACTCTATGGTTGCAGTTGTAGAGGTGCTTTCTTGTATAAGCGGCAGCATTATCAGTGGAGCTAACGTGCCTTCCTCATGGAAAGTTAAGTTTTAATTGACCATGCGGAGAAAAACACGCCTTGACCACCTCTCTCAATTGCCATGGTATATCTACATCATGGATCTAAGCTGATTTGTCCAGTTCAGTCAAATAGTTCTGTGATCCAAGAAGAAACCAAGGCTCACATCAGCTGGCTGCAATGCAAGCTTGTACATAAGAGAAAGGTTGCTAACACCAAGTATTTACATAGAAATGATTCTTAGTAAAAAAGAATTGCAGATTTTAAGTTGCTCATTGTCTTGGTCTAAATTGCCTACAAATATTAGCAGTTACCTTCAATTGTACTTTTGCAGAATGTCCTATTTGTTTATTCAGCTGAAGTGATGTAGTGTTTCTGTTTGCATACATTTTTGTCTTTGATGTTACTTTTAAGAAATGTGTAAGAAAGCGTAGTGGACAAGGAGATGGGCAAAGAGGTGGGCTAACAATTGTATATGAGGAGACCTGCATTTCACATAGATGTTCTCACCAATACCTCTGCATGGAGAAACAACCACTCAATT